GGGGTCAGCAGGCACACGGTCAAAGAGGGGAATGTTCGTGGGGTCCTGTTCACTCCGCCAGGTTGGTTTCTTTGTTGTCTTTATCAAGTTCTAATCATTTTTCTAAAGTTAAAAGTTGGATCAAAAATGTGCATCAAAGAGATCAAAAACAACAATGAATTGATTATAGCTTTACAGCAGAAGGGTTGGATACTTTTATTAGTTGTCCGTGGTCCAAAAAATGATTATAGAGAAGACGTGTTCTCAGTTTTAGTTTCTAATGTGAGTCAACCTTTCAAGATCGCTGGATCCTCGACTTTCCATAATATAACTCATCTTTCAGACGTAATGACACATGAGACTTTAGTAGTATCCCTTCTGACCAGGAAACTGATAAAAACAAACATGCATCGTGTATGTTTGTCATCTTGCATCCTCCCATGTCTTCTGATCCAGGAAGAGGGCCATTCCCTGCCGTGCTGGATTTGTACATTTTAGGGGGAGGTTTCTCAGAGAGGAGGGCCTCTCTGCTCGCCAGTCGAGGATTTGTGGTCCTGACCGTAGTGGCGTACGGTTACGATGACATGCCGAAGAAGATCAAAGAGGTCCATCTGGATTATTTTGAGGAAGCAATACAGTTTTTGAAAAAACAAGATAAGGTGAGTTCTCTGAATCTCTGACAGTCTTTTGAGATTTTTTGAAACGTTGCTCGGTTTCAAAGATGCTGATCCATAGAAGTCTTTGATGAAGTGTAATTAATGTTTATCTGCAGAAAAGCCCATGACATCATAATAAATAGTTTGCCTCATGTCTATTTTACAGGTGGGCAGTAAAGGAGTTGGTGTGATATCCATTTCAAAGACTGGAGATCTTGCACTATCAATAGCCTCTTACCTGCCAGGTGTTGAGGCCACAGTGTGGATCAACGGCTGCTCTGCCAACACTCTTTTACCCCTCTACTATAAGAAGAGACAAATCCTCCCTCCGTTAATGATTGACCTCAGCAAAATGATTCCCACTGAGTCAGGGGCC